CCTGAAAGACAAAGGCTTGGTGATGCATGCATGAACTTCAGAGTTAAGTTGCTTCAATGCATTCTTTGTAGGGAGGGTTATGATGACAATTCAGAAAGCTTTGTGCAGATGGTAATCTGTGCTCCCGGAGGTGTCACCTCCACCCTAAAACAGCTGCAGTAGCTACCAGTTGTTTTCTGTGCCCACTTCAAGGTGTTTACTATGATCAATAATGCCATATAATTTTAGGCCCAAATTGCTTGCACAAACACCAACTCCTTTGCAGGCCCCACCATGCATGAAGTACTATACATTTTAAACAAACAACTCGGAGTAAAATATGAAATGAGCTGGGTTCAATGCTTAGTATCACCACTTAGCCAGTGATAGAAAATACCTCTGCATGAGACCTTCAATTTACCTCGATCAGGGTAAATACTAGAGGAGACAGACAAAAAGAATCAGGGTAAGTCACAAAGAGAAAACTGTATATGGAGTTATAATGTAAACCACATATACTGGATCTTTGGTTATGATACAGTATATTCCTTTAGTTTACAGGAAGGCCCAGAACTTTTGTAACAACTATTTCATTAACAGTTTCATTGAATATTAAACAAATATTGAAATGCATTTTTTACAGTTTTTATTAATAACAGCCAAAATGAGATCAATGTGCTAATTCACTCTATTTCCTGCTTTTATATAGTAATACCCTTCTACTTACTAAATTCAATACCATGCAAATCTTTGTGCAGCTACGCTATCGTGTATATGTCAATGATTTTTATGACCAAACTTGTAACAGTAGTATGCTCCATGATATTGCAGAGGTATGCTGGATTTGTTTGCAACATGGGAACATGAAGCATAATACAACTTTCTTCCAGTCTATCTGCTTTTAGTGGAAAATGGAATGGAAATAAATAAAATATGCAATAATATATCATTAATGCATTTAAAATATGCATTCTTATTTTATCCATACTTTCCCAAAATATCACTGCTGCATTTATTCCACAGATTAGCATTCCAGATATGTATTTATAAAAA